TTACCTAATCTGACAACCTCTTTTAATTGGAGTGTGTGCAGCATTTCCATTTAATCTGATGATTTTTTTACATATATATTTTTATTTTAGTTGTAGATTGACACAATACCTTTATTTTATTTATTTATATGTGGTGTTGAGGATCGAACCCAGGGCCTCACACGTGCTAGGTGAGCGCTCTACCACTGAGCCACAACCCCAGGCCCATTTAATTGGATTATTGATGTGGTTACGTTTAAGATTTATGTCCTAACTGTACCATCAATTCTTTGTTCTTTTTCTGCCATATGTTAGATTATTTTTATTATTCATCTTTCCATCCCTATAACAAAATGCCTGAGTTAATCAACTTATAAAAAGAAAAGATTTGTTTTGGACCACAGTTTTGGAAGTCCTTGTCCATATTTAATTGACCCCATTGCTTTTGGGCCTGTAGCAAGGAGCACAACATGGCAGGAGCAGTGGTAGAGTAAAACACTCACCTCATGACCAGAAGGAAAAAAAAATTATATATACACACACACATATCGACACATGTTGCCTGGGGTGCATGTTCCCAATGACCTTAAGATCTCCCATTAAGCCCACCTCTTATAGGTTCTACCACCTCCCAGGAGCACCACCCTGGGGTCCAAGGCTTTAAATGCGTGAACCCTGAGAGACACTCAAGATCCAATTTATAGCAATTTTTCTTATTAATCTATTTTTATCTCCTTTGCTGACTTATTAGCCATAAGTTTTTGTTGTGTGTTATCTTGGTGGTTGCTTTAGAGTCACATGACCTATGCAGTAAGATAATTCATGGTTTCTGCAGCTAGGAGAAGTTCCAAAAATTGTTCTTCCTCTGGACTAGACAATAAATTTAAAACCCTACAATGAGAAGGTCTTCTGGGATGGCAGCGTGAGGAGCTCCATGGACTCCCCTCAGTGAAGTAACTAAAACTGGTGAAAATCGTTTATTAAAAAACAATGATTTGGGGGTTGGGGTTGTGGCTCAGTGGTGGACGCTCGCCTAGCACGTGGGAGGCGCTGGGTTTGAGCCTCAGCACCACATAAAAATAAATAAAAAAATAAAAATATTTTTTTAAAAAACAATGATTTAAAGTCTCTATATAAGAAAATACAACAAACAAAGAAGCATTCAATAAGATCAATTAAATGTTAGTAAGAACACTCAGGCTGTGGCATGTGAGTCACAACCCACTCTCTTCCTAACCCCCAACTGAACATGATGAACAAACTATTCCAGGCAAACACAGGGTTCCCTCTCCTACCAGCTCCCAGCCTAGGGCTATGGTCTCTCTCCAAAATCATTCTTGCCTCATTTGGCTCATAGAGAAAACGTTCCATGCCAGAGGAGGTAAGGTGAGAATATTAGAAGCTACCACCCCGGTCTAATGCTATTGTCTAATGGAAGCAACAGTGTCATTCAAAAGAGGCTGGTTGCCAGTCTCATTCCTAGCCTCTGAGCAATGGCTGAGAAGTTATGCCTAGGGAGAGGAGCAGGACGTAAAAACAGAGACCTTCCAAGTTCTTCTCAAGGAAACTGACTTTACTCTGATCAGAAGTGAACAGAGTCTGGAGAACTTCAAGCCTAAGGGTGCTGTTGAAAACAATGGAGAGTCTGGTGTTAAGCATGAAGAGGAGGCTGGTAGCACTATGAGAGCAGCAAGCACATTGTACACCAGTAGAAAACTTAGCAGAAAGAACCAGGGAAAGAGGCAGTCTGCTCAAACCCCCAAGACTGCTTTTATTAAGAGACTGAAGTTTAAAAGCATCGGAATACATAGCAATTTATGCCTTCAAGGCATTGTTGAAAACAACACAGCAATCATATGGTAGTTAATAGAGACTAACAACTGGCTGTGATACTAACAGAGGCAGACAGCTTAACAGAAAGATGAGAGAAGGAGACAGAAGAAGAAGCCTTGATAACCTTGCACTGTCATCCCAGAGTGACCTGCACTCATGCCCAAGGCTGCATCTCCTAAGGATAAGCATCAGAGGTTGTGCACAACAAAAAGACCCCACTGAAATAGTTAGCAAAGTCACTGAACAGGTAAACAAGCAAACAGCAACAACAGCGATTCCAAGAGCGAATCTGCATCCCAAGTTATGATGTTTTCTAAACTTTCCAAATTTCAACAACAACAACAACAAAGTGAAACATACAGAGAAACAGGAAAACAGGGTAAATAACAAGCAACTGAAACTTCCTTTAAGAGTAACTGGATGCCAGATTTAATAGATGGAGATCTCAAAGCAGTTATTACAATGTGATCAAATCATTAAAGAAATTATGCTTCAAGAAGTAAAAGAGGGGTTGGGGCTGTAGCTCAATGGTAGAGCACTCGCCTAGCATGCGTGAGGCACTGGATTCAATCCTCAGCACCACATAAAAATAAACAAATAAAATAAAGGCATTCTGGCCATCTACAACTACAAAAAACAATTTTTTAAAAAGAAGTAAAAGAAGGTCTGATGGCAATTTATATCCAATAGAGAATATCAATAAAGAGAGAAATTTTTTAAAAGAACTAAGTTGAAACTTTGGAGTTGAAAATAACAACAGCCAATGGAAATTTCACTAGCAGAGCTCAACAGTAGAATTGAGCTTAGCAGAAGAATAAATCACAAAATTTGAAAATAGATCAATAAAGATTACCTAATCAGAACCAGAGGGAAGTGTTAAGAAAATTTAAAGACTTAAAAGAAAGGTGGGACAAATTGAAATACTCTAAAACATGTAAAATAGAGTGTTTTCAGAAAGAGAGAGAAAGGAGCAGATCCATTTCTAAATAATGAAAAAAACTTTTTCAGATTTGATGAAGAGCATTAATTGCATGCAATCAGAAGCTCAATGAATTCCAAGTAGGATAAACAAAAAGTGATCTATATCCAGATCCATCAGAGTAAGAATGTTGAAAGCCAGATGCAAAGAGAAAGTCTTGAGAGCAGCAAGAGGAAAAAAAAATCAATAAAACCTGCTCATAATGTAGAAGGGAACCCGATGAGATTAACAGCTTACTGCTCATCATAAACATTGAAGTCCAGAAGGCAGTGGATGACATATACAAAGATCTAAAGGGGGAAAAAAAAGTGAACTAAGAATCTTTTATCCAGCAAAACTTTCACAACAAAGACAAAATTAAGACATTCCAGAGAACCAAAAACTGAGAGAATTGTTGATAACCAACCATCCTCACATGAGACACCAAAGAAAGTTCTGCTTGCTGAAAGGACGTGAGCTCAAAACAGTAATTTCACTCCGCTTGAAAAAAACAGAAAGCACTGGTAAAGGTAACTATATAAAAAAAATGTACCAGTTATAAAAGATTTTAAAAACACGGTGAGCCAAGCACTGTGTCATACACTTGTAATCCCAACTACTCAGGAGGCTGAGGCAAGAGGATTGTCATATCAAGGATAGTATGAGAAACTCAGTGCGACCCTATCTCAATTTTTAAAGGTCTTGGGGTATAGCTAGTGGTAGAGCACTTGCCTAGCATGTATGCACCCTGAGGTTCCCAACTACTTGGAAGGTTGAGATGGGAGGATCCCTTGAGTTCATGTGTTCAAGACCAGTCTAGGCAACATAGTGAGACTCAGCCCCATCTCAAAAAAAAAATGTTTAACATAAAGTTACTATGTGACCTAGAAATTCCTAGGCATATGCACCAAGAAAAATGAAATATATATATGCATTTATGTGTATACATATTATTTATACATATAATGCATATACATATAACATGTGGCAAAACAATAGCCCAAAGATAGAAAAAACCCAATGTCCACCACTAAAAATGTAATAAAGGGGGTATATATCCCTACTATGGGATATTATTTGGTAACAAAAAAAGAAGGAAATATTGATGCATGCAACAAAGTGGGTAAATCTTTACAACTTTATGCTATATGAAAGATGAAGTCACAAAATTTACATATTCATTATATGATTCTATTCATAGAAAATATCTGAGCAGGAAAATCTAGAGACAAAAATATACAGGAACCAAACTGGCTGCCTAAGGCACGGAGAAGAGGCTGGAGGAAAGAGTGACAGCTAAAGAGTACAGGATTTATTTTCAAGGTGATAAAAACATTCCAAAGTTGATTGTGATTATATTTGCATATATCTATAAATATACTAAAAGATCATTGACTTGTATACCTTAAATGACTGAATCTTATAGCATCTGAACGATATCTCAATAAAACCATTTTTTTTAAACTGACAAACCTTATATTAAAAGGTTAGGTAAACAACAATATCTTAACATGACTTTTAAAACTTTAAGTACAAAGGCAATTACTTTAACAAAAAAAAAAATCCAACTTCCTAAAAACCCAAATGAATTTAGAGAATACAAGAACAAAAATAAATAAATAAACTAGAGAAACAACAAATATAATAGACATAGTAATTATAACATAATATCACAGAATTGAGACCATTAATAACTCTGAATGGAGGTAAGCCCATTGAGAGGATTAACAAATGTATTGAAACACAAAGATTTTCACTTTGGTTCCCAAAGCAAGGCTCAACTATATGCTGTACACAAGAAATACACAGGAACCCAAGTGATTGAGAAAGGCTGAAAATAAAGGGATTAGCAAGGGCTTAACAGGCAAAGGGAAACAATAAGAAGCAGTGGAGTAGCAAGACCAGATTTGCACTTTAAACACTCTGGTTTCTGTGTAAAGAATGAATTGAGAGAATGTTAGATTCATGAACCAAAGACGGCCTGCGTCTATTGGCCCCTAGCTTGTTCATTTCTTCCCCGCAGACTAGTCAAAAGCCCGCTGGCGCTAAACTCAAATTTGTACACATCCAATCATTTTTTAAAATAGCCCAAACAAGCAGATTTGTAGCCATTTAGGCTCTGCCTGCTTTGCATACTCCATGAAACTACACCCTGCAGATCCTCCCGGTCAAAGTCAAAGCATGGAGAGATAAAGCTTCTGTATACCATGGTTGCACCCTGTGTTCATACCTTTCTCCTAGCTGAATCCTCTAATTCCTCCCATGTCCTAAGCAGGCAGTCATCCACAGGAGCAAGGAGAGTGGCCTAACTGGAGAGAGTTGAACAGGCTTGGCACTCCAGAGGTCAGCACAGATAAGAAACAAGGAAAAGATAGTCACAGACCTCAGAAAGTATCCATGGGACCTGCGGAGCACAGGAAAGAAGTATTCCAGAAGGGAGGATATGGCACAGAGCCGACACTCCCCACCCTTTAAGACTGACTGCTTCTCAGATCTTTTTCACTTCCATCCCTGATGAGAGATATGTTTTGTATCATGTCCCAAGGTGTGTATGTGTGTGTGTGTGTACAGATACAGTAATCCTCCCCTATCCTCAGTGGATAGATTTCAACGTCTATCTGTGGATGCCTGAAACCATAGGTACACTAAATATATTGTACATTTTCTTATACTTATGATAGAGCTTATGTTAGGCATAGTTAAGAAATTAATAATTAATAACATAATGAAAACAATATGAGAATATATTGTAATAAAATAGCCAGTATCTGTACTCTTGCACTTTAAGGACACTACTAAGTAAATGCAACAGTCAATCTCATACCCCAGACAGTTGCTAAATATTAACAGGTGGGTAGCATATACAGTGTGAATACACTGGACAAAGGGATGACTCACATTTCAGGTAGGCAAAGCAAGACCACAAGAGATTTCATCGCTCTTCTCAGATTGACACATTTTCTAGCTTGTTATTTCTGAAATTTTTCACTTAATATTTTTTTGACCACAGTTCACCATAGCCAATGAAACCACGGAAAGCAAAACCACGAATAAGGAGAGGGTTGCTGCATAAAGATTCAAGAAACAATACTTACCTTAATATTTCCCTGTATTTTTATTTCTATTTTCTCCTTTTAAAATGAGCCTCTAAATTTAGACCTCATGATCCACTTAAGAGTGACAACCTGCAGTTTGAAAAACAATACATTTAGTGATGATTAGTTATTTCTCTCCTCCTTGAATGTTTCCTTGGATTTATGATGAAAATAGGGACATAGGGTGATTTTTTTTTTCAGAAGTTATCCTTTTTTGCTCAATGTTGCTGTCTAGCTCCAGTTTTTCTAAGAAACCCTTACTTTGATTTGCTGGTGTCTTTAAATGATGAATTGAAGGAAGGGCCAATACTTTCCCCTCCACCCCAGTACTGGGCATTGAACTCAAGGGCACTGTACCACTGAGTTACATCTCCAGACCTTTTTACTTTTTTTTATTTTGAATCAGGGTCTCTCTAAATTTCTGAAGCTGGCCTCAAATTCGTGATCTTCCTGCCTCAGCCTCCAGAGTCCCTGGGATTACAGGTGTGCACCACCTGGCTCCAGGAGGGTCTAGGACTTCTGGCTAGAGTAGCCCTGAGCCATGAAAAAAAGAGTCCAGTTCAGCAGGTGTTTCCTTTCTCCAGACAATCAAAAGTGCTCAAAAGCCCAGGCGCAGTGGCCACACCTGTAATTCCAGCGGCTCTGGAGACTGAGGCAAGAGGATCATGAGTTCAAAGCCAGCCTCAGCAACGGCGAGGCACCAAGCAAGTCAGTGAGACTCTGTCTCTAGATAAAATACAAAATAGGGCTGGGGATGCGGCTCAGTGGTCGAGTGGCCCTGAGTTCAATTCCCAGTACCCCCTTTCCACCTTAAAAAAAGTGCTCACAACCCCAGGGAAGCGCACTGGTAAAGGAAGCCACAGTGGTAAACTGACCCTCTGCCTCCGCTCACCATGCCCTGTGATTCCTTAAAGAATATATACACTCTTTCTGGGGAGTCTGATGTAAGTAGAATTTAGGAACAAGAGAAATTGCAAAACCAGAGAAATTTGAGATACATCGATTTTTTTTTTTTGTATTATGAAATAGCACAGAAATCAGGAAATAGGCATAAGAACTTTGCAAAGGTTCTTTAATGAACAAAGATGAGACTCTCAGACCTGTGATCAGCATTTCAGGTCACTCGGTGGTACAGCGACACTTTCCAGAAGGTGTAATGCCCTGGGTTGGATCCCATCCCAGAAAAACAATAAATAAATAAGAATGTCAATATTAAATTAATTAAAGTTTATTTACAGAATAAACAAGAATCCACATGCTCAAAATTTCCCCTTAAATATTAGATAGAAAAAGGGATATTCCATAAATAAATACAATAGAACAAGTGACCCACCGTTTCACTCCTCCCCAGCCTAGAGTATCCACAGTCATTTTTTTTGAACACAATGTATTTTACGAATAAACCTCTACACTTTTAAAATTGAGTTTTCTCTTTTTGAAGTACAGCTTCAAGCAACTACAAGTTTCCATCCTGCTAACCCCAGGCAGCAGTTGCTTTTAACTTCTATCTTTTATTTAAAAAACTTAATTGGAAGTTTTTGTAGCCAGAAGGAGCACTTCAAAGAAAGGGGAAAAAAAACGCCAAAAATTAATACTTTATGTCAGAGGTTAGTAGGGAGAGAAACAAAGATGACAGAAACGAGGGGTTAATGGTATATAAGAAAACGGGAGAAGAAGGAAAGAAGGCAGGAGATGGTCTGAAGAAAGAAAGGAAAATGCAAACCCATAATATTTAAAAAAAAAATGTGGACTGGGGACGTGGCTCAGCGGCAGAGCACTGGCCTAGTGTGTGCGAGGCCCTGGGTTTCATCCCCAGCACCACAGCAAAAAATAAATAAATAAAGGAAACTTAAAAAACGAAATGTGGAATAGCATTTCCTTATTCTGAACTGGGTAAGACAACACAAGGCTTATAGCAGCATTTATAATCCACCCCCCCAGCCCTAAGTCCCTGAGAACAAATCCTGCCTCCTGCTCAAGTCATTTACCCCTGTCTACAATTACACATCAAGGGACCACAGCTCTGCCTACGCTTTAATGTCCAGACATTTCTGTCACTGTAGATTCTAAATCAGCTCTGACAAAACAATATTGAAACTCCAAGCATGATTTAGTGCTATACCTTTGAGAGGGAAAAGGGCCAGGGCTGAGAAGGTCAAGAGACCTATGAGGTCCTTGTCCCAGCTCTGCCATCAGCTGGTATGATGAGACTTTGAGAAGGTCCCTGGCCCTCTCTGGAGCTCAGTGATGTCATCATAAAATGAGGCGATTCCCTTGATTCCTTCCGGTTTGGAAAGACTATCACTGTATGGTTTAGGGAATCTAAATCAAAACACTAAGTTTAAAGAACTTCCCATGCTAGTCCCCAAGGATACGGACGCATGGGTAAATGAGGTGAATACCCAACACTTGTTCCCAGATGTTCTTACACTGGACTCAAACAATAAGTCCTCAAAATATCAAGCGGGAACATTTCTCCATATTTGGCTGATGATAACCAAATTAAAAACAAATTCCCAAGATGAGAATAGCAAAAATGTGGGAGAAAAAAAAAAGAGAAAAGAAAAACAAAGATGAGAATAGCTACAAAAAGACTATATACCCAGACAGGCAAGGCTTGTGTTCCATAAAAAAATAAAATCATAAGAGCCTGTTTTTCATGCTCTGCTCTATAAGACTTTGCCCAACAGCCAATTTCAGAAGTATTTTCCAACAAGACCTCATAGACTCCTTCTATGATAAAAGGAATTTGGGGGCAGGTGACTCAAGTCAGGCGGGGCGGCAGGAGGGGGGGTTCCTAATAATAAGCACTTAGCTGGCTTGAGAGGAGAGAGAGATTGACAGAGTGGAGCACAGTAAGCCTGAATCCCATGCCCTCCTTGGAAGCAAAAACACCTTGGATTCTAGACCCAATAAAAACAATGAATCTCTGCAAATGCAACGGGGCACCATGTCACAGTGCCATGCAACAGCAGATCCTGGACAGAACACTTCTTGCTACAGAGACCAACAGCCAAACACAGGAATAGCTCCACTAACCACAGCCCACAAGACAGAAGGGCCAAATGAGCTGTTTTGTCCCCCATGGCCCTCTGCAAGTGAAACTGCCCAGCACACAGACCCAATTGGATTGAGGGATTAGGGATGGGCACCTGTTCCCAAAGTAACCAACTTGTAGGTGGAAAAAGTCTCCAGTGGTAGACTACAGAGCAAAATGATAACCTAGGCCAAATAAGGGTCCCTTGTTGGGGAATTGGGATGAGGTTATGAAAACAAAGCAGCCAGTGATAGGAGAGGAAGGTTAAAGATCATGACGAAAAGAGATGCTCTGAAGGCCCTAAGGGCTATAGAGCCAGAGAGTCCTGAAGCAGGCAGGCTCCAGTAATACATGACCCCCCTACACACACACACACACACACACACACACACACACACACACACACACACGAGTCCAAACACACGGGCAAGGGAAGGCTCAATGTATAACAGGGTTCAGCAGAAATACAGGGAAATTCCCACATATCAAAGAACTAACTCAAAGTTAAAAACAGGAGCATAAAGTTGAACAATCTTGAAGGCAAAAACAAAAAATGACCTACATGATTGCCTAGCATGCACAAAGCCCTGGGTTCAATCCCAGGTACCACCAAAAAGAGGGAAAAAGAAAGAGAACATTATATGAAATAAAGTGACTTACGTTATAATGATAAAAGGTGCAATTTTAAACTTGTACACACTTATATATAAAGCAAAATTAAAACTGGATGCAGTGGCACATGCCCGTAATCCCAGCAACTCCTGAGGCTGAGGCAGGAGGATCATAAATTGGAGGCATGCCTGGGAAACTTAGGAAGACCCTGTCTTCCCAAAAAAATAAATAAATAAAAAGGGCTAGGGATGTGGCTCAGTGGTAAAGTGCCTCCAGGTTCAGTTCTCTGTATCCAAAACAAAAAAGAAACCCTCTCGTTTATTTCTAGGAAGAGTGTAAAAATGCAACTGCCACTTTGGAAAACCACTTCAAAGCTTCTTTAAAAGTGAACATATATCTGCTCAATGACCTAGTAATTTCACTCTTACGTATTTATCCAAGAGAACTGAAAAACAGAAACATATGTCCATGTGAAAATAGTATGTTAACAGCTTTATTCATAATAACCAAAACGTGGAAACAATCCAGATGTCCATCAATAGAACAAGTAAATAAACAGTGGTATATTTATCCAATGGAAGACTATGAGTAATTACACAGAATGAACTTTTATACACACAACACAAATGAATATTGAAAGCCTTCTGCTGAATGAAAGAGGTCAGAGACCTCAGAGGACATAGTCTTTGACTCCGTTCATATGGAGTTGTAGAACAGGCGGAAGTCATCTACAGTGACAAAAGCCATAATTGTGGTTGGTTCTGAAGTGGAAGAAAGAGGATTGGCTAGAAAGGAACCTGAAAGCACTTCCCAGGCTGATGGAAATGTTTTCTATATTGATAAGTGTATAGCTAACAAGAATGTCTGACTTTTTCAAAACAAATCCAACTGTCTATTTAAAATCTATGTATTTCACTGTACGTAAAAGATAACTCCACTTAAAAAACTTTAAAGGGTGCAGATAAGTTGGAGAAAATTTTTAGTCTTAAACGCTTACAGCCAGAAAAAAAAAAAGACTAAAAATTCATAAGCTAATTTCCCAACCTTAGAAAAAGAATATCAGAATAAAATGCATAAAATAGAAAGAAGTAAATGTTGACTGAAGAAGGAAATAAAATGACCTTGTCAGATGTCATTTTTACTATGCAAATTTTCCAAGATACGCAAAAGGAGAATAATATTGTGAATTTTTATTACCTGGCAGAATTTCAACAATTATCAGTGGCCAACTTGTTTTATCTAAACCCTCTAACCATTCCCTGGCCTTACACACATACTGGCTGATTTTAAAGCATTCTAGAATTTGTATCATTTCATCCAAACGTACTGTTTAAAAGATCTTTCCTAAAATATAAAATGTTAATACCATTATCACACCTAAAAGTTACAACAATAACATATATCATATGTAATAAGAATGATCTTTAAAAACCTATCCTAGAGGATCAAAACACCAAAAGCTAATGAAAAAGATAAACCTCTAACAACTAAGCAAAAAGCCAAACAGGCACAAATAACAATAGAAAAAAGTAGACATTCAAAAAAATTCATACAGATGATTATCCTCAATGTCATGCCAATACACCTGGAAATTTAAAGAAACAGATAATTCTGCAGGGAAATATAACTTATCCATGAAGAAATTGATAATTTCTTCACTGATAATTAATATAGTCCTGTAATTATCAAACAAATTTAATTAGTCATAAAACCCACAAAGGAAAAAAGAAAAACAAAGTGTCTAAAACAGTTTCCAAGGTAAATTCTACTAGTAAATGATTAGATTATTTTAATTTTATAAGCCACTTCTATGATAATGACAAAGGAGAAGGATGGAGGAGACGGAAGTAGAAATAGTAGAAGGAGGAGGAGAAAGGAGAAAAAGATGAAACACTAATGAGCCCATTTCATGATATTAATATAGTTTTTCTGAATACAATTAGCCTGATGGCCTGAGCAAATAGAAGAATGGAATTCCACCTGGGCACAGTAGCACATGTCTGTAATCCCAGTAACTCAGGAGGCTGAGGCAGGAGGATTGCAAATTTGAGGCCACCCTTAGCAACTTAATAAAATGGACTAGGGATGTAGCTTAGTGGCAAAGTGCCCTGACTTCAATCCTTGGTACCAAGGAGTGGTGGGATAAAAAAGAAGAAGAAAGGGGAAGGAGGAGGAGGAGGAGGAGGAGGGAATTGCCATTGACAGATAAATATATATGAAGAAGATGGTAGGATAAGCAAATCTAGAACTAAAATCAAGAGATCCATTTAGGATATTTTATTGAGATACCTACTTAGACATTCAAACAGAGATGTAGAAGAGGCAGTTAGATATGCCAGGCTTAGGAAAGAGATCCGAGCTAGAGATACAAGTTTGAAGATTTAAAATATAAATGCTGTTTTGGAGATCCAACATGGCGGCGGGCGCGGAGAGATCAAGTCTCTGACCTCTTCAGCTGTGCGGGTATAGAGAGTCGTAAACAGCCTAAATCTGTTTGCTCAGGATCACTAGGCAATGCTGAGCTGACGTGGATCTGGGGCGAACAGTCTGGGCCTCTCAGAACACACACCGAGCCCGGATCGGCTGAATTCAAGCTCCTGTTCGCCTGCTTCCTGCAGACAAACTGCTGTGACTCAGCACTAATCCATCCGGCTGAAACAAC